GTACATGGAGCTGTGTGACAAGGACTTCTGTGTAGCATCAAGCCCACTAGAACGGCATAGATACATGCACATACATATAAATAGGAGTTCATTTACAGGTCACTGACATCAATCGCAGTATTTTCTACTAGCTTTTGGGAAAAGATACCTGAAGAATAATTCTCAGATCTTTAAAAACTGAAAGAGTTTACATCTGTCATTATATTATATATATAAATATATATATTATATATATAAGTATATATAATATATAGAAAAGACCAATAAAAAAGTCCTCAAATTTATCCTTGATTTATCAATCTTATAATGAGTAAAGTGAAACTATATGAGTTATTGTTGTCTTGCAGCATTCCAATAAGGTAGTACAATATATTTTTGTCCTGGGGAAAGTTTTCTCTATTCAGAGGGTTAGCAGATCTCTGCATAAGCAAATGGAAAAAAAAAAAATTGCTATGTTGCATTTTAAATCATCTGTGTTTCAGATATTCAGTAATATTTGAGATTGGATGAAAGAAATAATTTTACCTATAACTTATAATTTACATTTCCAATTCCACATCCTTTGTCAATGTGAATAATTGAACTTATGATAAGCAGATACTGACATAGTCTTTGAGTATAAGATAATGGATTCAAATAATTTCCCCTCTTTTCTTGTAGCCTGACAGTAACCAATAATAATTGTGTTTGGTGGGATGGACAGGGTTATTCAAAGAAGATCAAAGATAGGTAAGGAAATCAGTCTAAGAGCAATTGCTAATCCTTTGGTAATGTAGCCTCCAGTGTGCCTGACTTTTGTGTGTCAGAAAAGGCATGCATGTCACCCATTTAGTAGTTTAAACAGCATTACATTTTGAATCAATTTATCCAGTTGCATATGTGGCAGTATGACATCATAATTATTTCTTGATTGACTTCATTTAGTTTATAATAAATACATATCTTCTCTGAATTTACAGCACTACAATATAGTCTCTTGTTCCACACAAGATCTGAGAGCAAATTTTAAGGTGCAATTACTGGTTGCTGAGAACTATCAAAATACCTTTTATGTAGCAAAATATAACCTTCCTGTTAAATCCTGAAAATCTTAATATGGGTCTCTAACTTCTATAAAAAGAGATTTAAACGTAAATTCCACTGTATGTTTAGCACTATCCACCTGAAAATTAGATCCAAGCTGCCTTTTCTTTTAAATCTCATTTGAAATTCAGAAATAATCTTACTAACAAGAGATAGAATGACATTCTTAGAGGTACAAAAGGCAAAATATTATCAGGATTTTGTAATATTGTTCTAATAATGATTTTCCTAGACTGTTACAATCATAGAGATTTTTAATCAGTATTTTCAGAGAACATACACTAGAAAACTAGTCTTCAGCATAAAAGCTTTTTTTTTTTTTTCATTTAAAATTTTATGCAAGTCGGTTATTCGGTTATTATTTTATTAATTTTATTCCTTGATCAAAAATTTTATGGAATATACTGTGCTTCAAATAAAATATTTTTTAGTTGATACTTCTTAATTGTTCAGAAAGATAGAATATGTTTCAGTATAAATAACTTTTTTTTTTTTTGTCAATATCAGAAAAGCAAAACAACCTTAGAAAAATAACATACCTCATTCTTGTCCTACATCCAACCTTTTATTTGTATTGTGGCATAAGCTACAAATTTTTTAGTCATATTGTTTCACTTACTGGTAAATCACTACTAAGAGTATGAACTTGCTATAAGAGTATTAAATTGCTGTGTTTGTTTTTTCTATATTGTTACAAATACCATGCTTGTAATTCACTTTTCAGGGACTTTCACTAGCTATGCACTTTCACAGGGCTTTTAAGAAAATATTGCCTATTTCATTGGAAATATGTAAATATATAGGATAAGTATGTCTATCTAAGAAAATAATGCTCACACTTAACGACTGAACAGGATCAAATATAGAGAGAATTCACAAGGCTTAATGTATTCTTTAAAATGTGTACCATATAAGTTTGTGGTTTTGTCTATCTATTCATATATAAATTAATGATCAGAAGTAAAGATGGCCAAATACAGTGTTGTATGTGGTAAGGTTTTGCCATTGAACATATAGCCATTATCTATAATCTTACACATGGTTGTTTGTGGAACAGCATCTAAAGGAATTTACTGAAAATTCAATCTTTAGAATTATCTTTTTTTTTTTTTTTTTTTATCTGTTTCTAGATTAGATTATTTTATTCTATAACAAAATATAGCTTATTAAATTTCTGAGACAATAAATTCTTGACCACTCTACTGATCAATAACAAGGAAAAATTAATTTCTTAAGTGTCAAGCTAATAGTCAAAAGGCTCATAAGTTGAAAATGAAAATCTTACATGGTATGACAAATATTTTCCTTGATATTCCTTTCACTGACATAAGATTATTGAAAACTTGAGAAAGACAACTCTGGGCCAAAATACCTTTATTTTCTTAGCATAAAGACAAATTCTTCAAAACTGCTATGGTTATCCACTGCCTTTGGCAGACACATCTCTATTCATCCTCAATATGAGCAAGAAACAGATTTTTTAGTTTCCTCCCCTTGCACATTTAACAATTATTTGTAACATTGCTTGTTTGACTGGCTGACTGGCATTTCTTGAGGAATTTGGTCAAGGAACATGGTGACTCTACATACATAAAAGTCTGAATAAAGTTAAAAATAAATCTAGATCTGAATTAGAAAGAGATTATAAGAAAAAAAAAAAAGAAAAAACAGAGAGAGGGAGAAGAAGAAATGGGAATGGCAATTTATTTACTACTGAAATAAATAAATATTGAGTATCGAGGGAGGCGCAGACATGACTGACATAAGGCTAGGTAAATTCAGTCTTATAGATTTATTTTCACCTGCTGGTTCCAATTTATTGTTTTTGCTTGGTTTTGTTTGTCTTTATATGTTTTATTTTAAACACAATTTAATTTCTTGTTTGTTGCTTTTTTTTTTTTTTTTTTTTAACATAGCAAGGTGTGCAAAGTCTGTACTGGTATTTTAATGGTGACACTGATACTTACATTTCTCCATATTATTTGTTTGTTTGTTTTATTTTCAAGTATTATATAAATAACTAAATCAAATATGTCACAAGTCTGTTTAAACTTCTAGCTGGAGAAAATACTGCTTTCTCTACAGGATTGGACTTCATCCCTGATCCAAGTTTCACAAGAATTCTTCAAAACTTGAGTAACAGGCTATTCTAGCTCTGGTCTGGTTATTTTCATCACATATATGTAAAGAAAAAAAAAAAGAATAAAAGAAAAAATATGCAGGCAAATAAAACAATAAAACAATATGAGGAAAAAATAAGAAAATAAAATAAAAAAAAAAAAGCTATAACTACAGTTTAAAAAGACCACCAGGGAGAATCCCATGTCTAATTTATATAATTTGAACATGGTCAGTTTATGCAAGGAAGTATTTATCTTTCTACTTTGAACAGCTTGGAAAGATTTTGTTATTGGAAATGAGTACCTATCCATAGCAGAGTCTTAGCAGTTGTATCTTTTAATTGCTCCAAGTATACTAAACTTAAGTGAGCCAACATAAAATTTGGTTAGAACTTCTTTTCAGTTGTATTTTCCCCATAATTGGTGTTATGTTTAATTTGTATTTTTTCTCTTTACACAAAACCATATTTTACCATAGTTTTATGATAATTATTAATTAGCTAATATGGTTATCCATGTTATGTTTATGTCTCATATTTGTAAGCACAAAGTATGGTTTAAGCTACCTTTGAAATCCTAACTTCTCAGACTATGAACTATTATTGGTCTTGCATATATCTTTCTTCAAAAGCAAAGCTTTATTATGCATGATACATACACACACATACTTATTATATATATATTTTACATAGCAGTTGTTAAAAAAATTAAGGCAGAGGTAGATTGCCAGGAAGTCTATGTTAAGTAACATAATATTATAGTGAGATTTCCCTAATGTGTGATGTTTTTAAACATTGTTAATGTTTCCTCAACCACTAGACATTAAGAAACTTAAAGAGGCAGATATTTGTATAGATAGGACTTTTGACAATATTAGTTTGCATACTCCTACAGAATTTCTCTGAATAGAGGACCTTTACAGGAATCTGTAAAGTGCTGAGTGCCTATAGACACGAGCATCTAGAAAAAGACTAGATTTCAGGGATTTGAAATTTAAAACTAGATTATAGACTACAATAGACACCTCAGTATCATCTCGAGATCTGCAGGGAAGACTGCAGGAAGACAGATGTGATGTACAAGCTGTGAGTTGGCAATGCTCAACTCCACTCCTCAAAGAAAACAATCAAAAGAGCAAGAAATAATCTTATGGAAAAATGGAAGAGATTGGATGGAATCAAAGCCCACTGGACCTGCCCATATACTGAGGACAAAAATATGTGATTATAAATAAAGTTTTACTTCTTACCATTTCCGTCCCCTATTCATTCCAAAAGTATGGTTTCTTTCAACAGATTTAATATAAAAAAATGTCATTTATATCTGGAGAAATTCTGTCCTTTTTAAAAGTCGTTACCTTTTGGTTCATGTTATCTCTTTCACTCTGAAATTATGTCAGCTCTTGTCTTTGATGACTATATTATTAATACTCCCAAAATACAATGTAGTTAAGTTACACAAATATAGCACTGATGTTCAGTTATATCACAATATCTTCAGTTAAACTACACTAAAAACAAGCAAACAAACAAACAAAAACCATATCAACAATGACAACAACAACAAAAAGAACAAATTTATTTTCTAGTTACTCAGAATGGAAAAAAATAATCCTCACATTCTCATGGTGGTGGTAGTGAGACATGAATTAATGGCTGATATTACCAGCTCACATTATCATACATCTACCTGTATATGTATATATAATATTTCATGATCCAAGAAACGTGCTAGAATGCAGTTCTTCACATAAATATCCAAATTCAGCAAAAGGAAATATCAAAAAGAATTACTCACCCTGAGCTTGCGGATTTGGAACTGGATCAAAAATATTCTATCCTGAGATCTAAGAAATACAAAACAAAAGCTATCTATCATCACTGGCAATGAATGGTTAGACAATAGATATACAGCAAAATGGGCAAATTATAGTTCAATGCTAATTAACATACACATATACTACAGAGAAATCAATGAGTTAAAACATTACATGGTACACTTTGGATGTGTACTGGGTTTACATGGCAAGGTTCTGGTAGTAGGGTGCTGTAGAGGTGGCCTCTGTGTGAAGAATCCAGAAGCTGCCCCACGTTAGATAAGGGCCAGTTCAAGCCAGCTTAAAGGGACCCACCACTGTCCAAAACTGAGCAAACAAGCAACGTTGTTTGAGTCTCTGTGAGAGTAGATTTAAGAAAGGGGAAAACAAACAAACAAACAAACAAAAACTATTGCACAACAGCATCTGGGAGAGTGATGCCCTGTAAAAAGAGCCCTGTAGGCACCATGGTGAATTAAGACAGAGGGGAAGGAGATGCTCCAGGTGCCAGATCTGAAGTTCCCCTGCAACCTGTGGAGAGGCCGATGGTGGAGCAGATCTCCGTGAGGCCCATTGGTCCCACAGTGGAGCAGATCTCTGTGCTACAGCCTGTAGAGGAGCCCACAGTGGAGTAGGTAGATCTAGGCTGAAGGAGGCTGCAGCATGTGGAGAACACCTAGAGGTTTCCCTATGCTGCTCAAGGGTAGGAGGTGGAAGAGGGTGGATTGTGGAAGGTGCCATTTGCCGAGGCGATCGGCTCCAGGGCAGACGCATTCTGCAGCGGAGCGGGGGATCGGGCCAGGCAGGGCTAATTTTCCAGCATCGAGCCTACTTCAGGGAGCCGCCAGGACCCGGCAGCCCTCGTGAGGGAGGCTGACGAGGCATAGGTGGAGCCAGCAGCGCCCCCTCCCAGGCCATTGAAAAGCTGCCCCTAGGGAGCTTGAGAGACCAGGAGCAAGGCTAACAGGGCGGGCAAACAGGGCGTGGCGCGTCAGAACGGAGTGGCGCGGCAGTTTGCACGGCAGTTCGCTCAGGCAGGGCGAGCAGGAAGGGCAGAGAGCTACCCCCGCCCACACGAACACCTCTTAACGACAGCCGTTAGCTAGGTGATAATAGTCTCCACCAGGCACGGTGCACTCTCCAGGAAGTCGGTACACACCCAGACCGACTACCCGTTAAAGAATGCAGCAGTTCAGGTCACCGGATGCAGGGAGTGTCAGAGCCTGCTGCTGCCATCGGCAGGAGGCAGAGACACTGCGTGCGTGAGGTGCGAGCAGGTGGATGACCTGATCCGCATGGTGGCGGAGCTCAAGGAGGAGGTGGAGAGGTTGAGGGCCATCAGGGAGTGTGAGCAGGAGATAGAATTGTGGAGTAACTCCCTTCAGGGCCTCAAGGAGAAGTATCGAGGTGAGACACCCCAAATGGGGGTGGATCCCATGCCCTGTCGCCGTCGGGCAGAGGGAGGGGATCTGGGAGTTGAGGAGGAATGGAGACAGGTTCCTGCTCGACATGGCAGGCAATGCCCTCCCCTTCCGGCCCCACCTTCCCAGGTGCCCTTACGAAACAGGTTTGAGGCCCTGGAGCTCGACAGACCAGTAGCTGAGGAACAGGTAGCAAGTGTTCCCAGGAGGATGCCTAGGGCGAGGAGGTCGACTCCACGCCTCAGGACTGCCTCCACCAAGAAAGACAGGAGGGTTATTGTTGTGGGAGACTCTCTTCTTAGGGGAACAGAGGGCCCTATTTGTTGGCCTGACTCTACCCGTAGGGAAGTCTGCTGCCTCCCTGGGGTCAGGGTCAAGGACGTTGCCAGGAAGCTTCCCAACCTGGTACGCCCCTCTGATTATTATCCTCTTCTGATAGTCCAGGCGGGCAGTGACAACATTGAAGAGAGAAGCCTGAAGGCAATCAAACGAGACTTTAGGGGGCTGGGATGATTAGTGGAAGGAGCGGGAGTGCAGGTAGTGTTTTCGTCCATCCCTACGGTGACAGGGAGGGGTACGGAGAGGACACGGAAAGCCCACCTGTTAAACACATGGCTCCGGGGCTGGTGCCAACACAGAAATCTTGTTTTTTTCAACCATGGGGCAGTTTACTCAGCACCCGGCCTGATGGCTGTAAACGGGTCCCTATCCTTTAGGGGAAAAAGGATCCTGGGCCAGGAGCTGGCAGGGCTCATTGATAGGGCTTTAAACTAGGTAAGAAGGGGGATGGGGCTGAAACAAGGATTGTTGGGGCTGCGCCAGGGGGAACAATGGCAAGGCCGGAGGATAAGGTAAAGGCCCAGCTGAAGTGCATCTACACCACTGCACGCAGCATGGGTAACAAACAGGAGGAGCTGGAAGCCATCGTGCAGCGGGCAGGCTACGACTTGGTTGCCATCACGGAGACATGGTGGGACCAGTCTCATGACTGGAGTGCTGCGATGCCTGGCTATAAGCTCTTCAGAAGGGACAGGCAGCACATAAGGGGTGGTGGTGTGGCTCTCTATATTAGAGAGTCTTTCGATGTTGTAGAACTGGAGGCTGGGAATGACAAGGTCAAGTCCCTTTGGGTTAGGATCGGCAGGGACAACAAGGCTAGTGTCCTGGTCGGGGTCTGTTATAGACCGCCGAACCAGGATGAGGAGACGAATGAGGAGTTCTACAGGCAACTGACAGAAGTTGCGAAATCTTCAGCCCTTGTACTCGTGGGGGACTTCAACTTCCCTGACATATCCTGGAAGCACAACACAGCCCAGAGAAAGCAGTCTAGGAGGTCTCTGCAGACAGTGGAAGATAGCTTGCTGACGCAGCCGATTAGTGAACCTACCAGGGGTGGTGCCCCGCTAGACCTTCTCTTCACAAACAGAGAAGGACTGGCGGATGATGTGATCATCAGGAGCTGTCTTGGGCAGAGTGACCATGAAATGGTGGAGTTCATTATTCTTGGCGAGGCCAGGAAGGGAACCAGTAAAACCTCTGTATTGGACTTCCGGTGGGCTGACTTTGGGCTGCTCAGGACACTAGTTGGTAGAGTCCCTTGGGAGGCGGTTCTGAAGGGCAGAGGGGTCCAGGAAGGCTGGGCGCTCTTCAAGAGGGAAATCTTAATGTCACAGGAATGGTCTGTCCCCACGTGCCCAAAGATGAGCTGGCGGGGAAGAAGACCAGCCTGGTTCAACAGAGAACTGTGACTTGATCTTAGGAGAAAAAAGAGGGTTTATAATCTTTGGAAAAGTGGGCAGGTCACTAGGGAGGACTATAAGGATGTAGCGAGGCTGTGCAGGGACAAAATTAGGAAGGCCAAAGCTCATCTGGAGCTCAATCTGGCTACTGCCATTAAAGATATCAAGAAACGCATTTATAAATACATCAACACAAAAAGGAGGACTAAGGAGAATCTCCATCCTTTACTGGATGTGGGGGAAAACTTAGTTACAAGAGATGAGGAAAAGGCGGAGGTGCTCAATGCCTTCTTTGCCTCAGTCTTTAGTGGCAATACCACTTGTTCTCTGGATATCCAGTACCCTGAGCTGGTGGAAGGGGATGGGGAGCAGGATGTGGCCCTCACTATCCATGAGGAACAGGTTGGTGACCTGGTACGGCACTTGAATGTGCACAAGTCAATGGGGCCGGATGGGATCCACCCAAGGGTACTGAGAGAACTGGCAGAGGAGCTGGCCAAGCTGCTTACCATCATTTATCAACAGTCCTGGCTATCTGGGGAGGTCCCAGCTGACTGGCGGCTAGGAAACGTGACGCCCATCTACAAGAAGGGCCGGAGGGCAGACCCGGGGAACTACAGGCTGGTCAGTTTGACCTCAGTACCAGGGAAGCTCATGGAGCAGATCCTCTTGGGAGTCATCATGCGGCACTTGAAGGGCAAGCAGGCGATCAGGCCCAGCCAGCATGGGTTTATGGAAGGCAGGTCCTGCTTGACGAACCTCATCTCCTTCTATGACAAAGTGACGCGCCGGGTGGACATGGGAAAGGCTGTGGATGTGGTCCACCTTGACTTCAGCAAGGCTTTTGACACTGTCTCCCACAGCATTCTCCTCAAGAAACTGGCTGCTCTTGGCTTGGACTGGCGCACGCTTCATTGGGTTAGAAACTGGCTGGATAGCCGGGCCCAAAGAGTTGTGGTAAATGGAGTCAAGTCCAGTTGGAGGCCGTTCACTAGTGGCGTCCCCCAGGGCTCAGTGCTGGGGCTGGTCCTCTTTAATATCTTCATCAAGGATCTGGACGAGGGCATTGAGTGCACCCTCAGTAAGTTTGCAGATGACACCAAGCTATGCGCATGTGTCGATCTGTTCGAGGGTAGGAAAGCTCTGCAGGAGGATCTAGATAGGCTGCACCAATGGGCTGAGGTCAACTGCATGAGGTTCAACAAGGCCAAGTGCTGGGTCCTGCACCTGGGGTGCAATAACCCCAAGCAGAGCTACAGGCTGGGAGATGAGTGGTTGGAGAGCTGCCAGGCAGAGAAGGACCTGGGAGTGATGGCTGATAGTCGGCTGAATATGAGCCAGCAGTGTGCTCAGGTGGCCAAGAAGGCCAACGACATCCTGGCTTGTGTAAGAAGCAGTGCGACCAGCAGGGCTAGGGAGGTGATCGTCCCCCTGTACTCGGCTCTGGTGAGGCCGCACCTTGAGTACTATGTTCAATTTTGGGCCCCTCGCTACAAGAAGGACATGGAGGTGCTTGAGCGGGTCCAGAGAAGGGCGACAAAGCTGGTGAGGGGCCTGGAGAAGAAGTCCTACAAGGAGCAGCTGAGTGAGCTGGGTTTGTTCTGCCTGGAGAAAAAGAGGCTCAGGGGCGACCTTATCGCTCTCTACAGATACCTTAAAGGAGGCTGTAGCGAGGTGGGGGTTGGCCTGTTCTCCCACGTGCCTGGTGACAGGACGAGGGGGAATGGGCTTAAGTTGCGCCAGGGGAGTTTTAGGTTAGACGTTAGGAAGAACTTCTTTACTGAAAGGGTTGTTAGGCACTGGAACGAGCTGCCCAGGGAGGTGGTGAAGTCACGTTCCCTGGAAGTCTTCAAAAGACGTTTAGATGTAG